ATAAGGCAACTCCCAGAAAACTTTTAGATGCTGACAGCTATATGGGCAGAAACAGGAATGTCATATATACCTTTGATTCCCATGGGCTGATACCTTTTTTTTTTTTAAATACCCTCTGCCACTACCTACCTATCCATGAGATCTTGGGCAAATCACTTGCCCTTTCTGGGAAGCTTTTGAGAATGATAAGGCGTGATAAGTAATTAATACATACAATCTACAACACCTGTAAAAAGGACTCTCCCAGACAACTGCTTACCTATTATGGGAAATCAATCACCAACCAACCAGATAAGTCTATCAAGAGTTAGTTGACCTTTACCCAATCATTATTTGCTTTGGGTAACTAGTTTAACTGTAATTAGTTTAATTGTGATTCATTTTACTGTGATTAGTTCCATTCACTTTTCCTGAAATGTCTCTACCAAGGTGATTTTAGACTATTACAGTCCCTTAAGTGCGAGATTATAATAGCACATTGACATGTGCTTGTAATTGAACTACTTGAAAAGTATTCTTTAACAGTAGAGAGATAGTACAGCAGACTGGGTAAGAGTGCGAATCCAGTTTCCTTTTCTGTAAAATGGGATAGTGAGTTCTTCCTCACTGTGTCCTGAGAATTGTATGTTGTAAGGAACTTTGTAGAGTCTAGCATAGGAAGCACTAAATATTAACTATTGCTTTTGCTTGTGTAAAAGAGGAAATTAGACAAGATATTCTCTTTGGTCTCCTCCAGTTCTGAATTCTGGGCCTCAAGGAACAGCACCTTGAAAGCTGGTTCTTTGGGCAAATCCTATAAATTAATTAAACTGGAGAAGGGAGGGATTCAATTAGATTGGGCTGTAAGTGACTGAAGACCCAAAATGACAAGAAACAAGAGAGGTTTTCTTCTTTTTCTCAGGGTATTAGTTATCTGCTGCTGTGTAACAAATTGCTCCGAACCTTAGTGGTTTAAAACAACATTTATGATTTCACAATTTCTAAGGATCAAGAATTGCAGAGTGGCCTAGCTGGGCCATGCTGATCGAGATTCCCTCATGAGTTTGCAGTCAGGCTGGGAGCCAGATATCGAGATTTCACCGGGACTAATGTTGGAAGTGAGAGCACAGGATCAGACAGATTTAGGTTCCCATCCTTCCATGCTATGGGACCCAGAGCAAATTACCCAAACCTTGAATTTCTGGGTCCTCACTGATAAACTAGGAGACACCTCAAGTGTTGTGTGGCAAACACCTGAGTTAATAAGTGTAACAGGCTTTGCACAGTAAGAATTCAATGCTATGTATGTATGTATGTATATGTGTGTGTATATATGTATACATATATATGTATACATATATACACACACATATATATAATAAGAATATTCCAGGGACAGCTCAGTCAGTTAAGTATCCAGCTCTTGATTTCAGCTCGGGTCACGATGTCAGGATTCATGAATCGTGCTGACAGTGTGGATCCTGCTTAGGATTCTCTCCCTCTCTCTCTGTCCTTCCCTCGCTCATGCACGCATGCACTCTCTCTCTCTCTCTCTCTCTCTCTCTCAAAATAAATAAACTTTAAAAGATCTTTGTGAAATGTTACCAAACGTAAATGTCCAATTTGGGTCAGCTTTAGGATAGATCAAAATAAGAGGAATGTTCTTATTCACGAAAAATTACAGATTTACATGCATTTAATCTTGCCGGCCTCTAAGTGAACCGATTCATGCGAAATGATATCCCTCCCTTTGCATACAACATGGTACCTCTATGATCTCCTCTCTAAACACAAAGGTGTGTTTCACATTGACCCCAGCCACCAATTATTGAAAGACTAACACTAGACCAGGAACCACATCATCTCACAACATTGTGAAGTAGGTCACGCCAACCCAATTTTACTGAAACTAAAGTTTGGAGAGGCAGAAGTAGGGTTTGCAGCCGGGTCTGATGCTCTCACCACACCACAATGCTCTTCCTCTTGTACAGCTATCACACTTTATTTTCTGTGAAACACAAGTCCTTCCATGCAGCTTTGCTGGGAATTTCAACAGAGGAAAGGCGTGCAGAGAGTGGGAAATGATACATGGCAGAACAGGAGGCAGAGTGCACACTGCTTCAAGGTTCTTAGCTAAGTGCTTGCTCTCAGCTAGATTAATAATAGAAGATCTGAAATAATAACTAGGAGGTAATACTCTGTATGGTATTGGCAATGTAAGTGCCGTAAGACTTCACTCGGAGAGCCACGAGCACCTGAACCAGCCCCATCCTTAGTGTTCCTCAAAATATGGTCCTAGGAGGGGCGCCTGGGTGGCACAGTCGGTTAAGCGTCCGACTTCAGCCAGGTCACGATCTCGCGGTCCATGAGTT